GTGTGTGTGTGTGTGTGTGTGTGTGTGTGTGTGTGTGTGTGTGTGTGTGTGTGTGTGTGTGTGTGTGTGTGTGTGTGTGTGTGTGTGTGTGTGTGTGTGTGTGTGTGTGTGTGATCTGAAAGTACAGTAGTGAATTTTACTTTCCGCTCTTAAAAAAATACAAACAGCTTTAGCATGTGATAACCAAATAACCATAATCAGAAGTCATAATAATACAATTTAAACGAGCACTATAACGACGCAATTAAATTTTGCATGTTCTTGAGTCGGCAAACCAGATTATCTCTGTGTCTGCGCAGGCAATGATTGCGACATTAACTATATTAGACACGTGCGATTTATATTTCCTTTTTCTTTTTTCTTCAAAAAACCTTTGATGAGTTAGAGAGTAATCGGTGAATTTGGGAGGGGTGGGGGTCTTTCTTTTCCATTTAGCCCAAATATGCCACAGCAACGCCAGGCCAGGCACAGCTAGTACTATGATAAAAATCCACGCAGTCAACAGTGGGTTTCGATCGCGGTACGTTAGAATTACGAGTCGGACTCGCAACGCCTAAGCCACGGACGCCGCCTAGTTGAGGTAAGTGCATTATCGATTCTCGTCTTCTTTGTTTATTCTCTAAACGGCGGCATATTTTTGAATCTCTGGACGTAGAATAACCTCAACAAACACTGCCCTGGTTATTCAGTCCTCCACAGTCCACAAATAACAATAACGTGTCTGCAGATCTCCGTAGGGAAAGGGGTCACGTCAGAGCTTTCCAAACTGTCTGTGTCCTAAAAAGCCCAGCTCTTATTGTTTATCTGCAATCATTTTCTATTAAGTCGTTATCCCTGTGAGGCATGCATTTAGGACAGATGTTCTCAACCTAAGGGTCGCGACCTTTTTTTTGGGTCGAACGACCCTTTTACATGGTTCGCCAGATCAGGCTTATTTGTATGCAGACTGCAGGTTCCTCGACATTCAGGTGGATGCACTCCGACATCGAAGGAACAGCCCTAATTATTTGGTTGTTAAGAGACGCTTGGAGGGAAACAATGGGTCATTTCAATCTCGGCGCCGCAACCACCAACAGGACCCCCGAACCTGTACCTTAGGTTCAACAAACATCACGTAAGCTAATGCATCTTTGGCAGATGCGTTTAAATTGTCTATAATAAAACAAAGAAACGGTAGAAGTGGTAGAAAGAAAGACACAAAGAAATAAACAGGAAAAGGAAAAAAATAAGCAAACCAAAGAAAGAAAGAATAAAAGAAAGCGAGAAAGAAAGAAAGAAAGAAAGAAAGAAAGAAAGAAAGAAAGAAAGAAAGAAAGAAAGAAAGAAAGAAAGAAAGAAAGAAAGAAAGAAAGAAAGAAAGAAAGAAAGAAAGAAAGAAAGAAAGAAAGAAAGAAAGAAAGAAAGAAAGAAAGAAAGAAAGAAAGAAAGAAAGAAAGAAAGAACGAAAGAACAAAGCAAAAAGACAGACAGACAGACAGACAGACAGACAGACAGACAGACAGACAGACAGACAGACAGACAGACAGACAGACAGACAGACAGACAGACAGACAGACAGACAGACAAAGACAGGAAATAAGAAAGATATGAAGATATAAATTGAAGGGAAGAGACGGCAAAAAATAAGAAGAAAAAGAAAGCAAGAAAGAAAAAGAAAAAACGAATGAAAGAAAGAAAGAACGAAAGAACAAAACAAAAAGAAAAGAAAAGACAAGACAAGACAAGACAAGACAAGACAAGACAAGACAAGACAAGACAGACAGACAGACAGACAGACAGAGACAGGAAATAAGAAAGATATGAAGATAGAAATTGAAGGGAAGAGACGGCAAAAAAATAAGAAGAAAAAAAAGAGAGAAAATTGGGATGAAAAAATACAAGGAAGAGAGAGAGAGAGGGAGAGAAAATAAAATAAAAGAAACAAAACAAACGAACAAACAAAAAGATAGATGAAACAAGGAGATAGACAAACCTATAGACAATCATACAGACAGACATAAATAATTATCCCAGTGACTCCATACACAACCCAGAGATGTATGCAACCAAACAGAAACTCCAGACAGATCGAACTCATGGCTCCGGCTCTGACTGAACAAACATAAAAACGAATACAGCAGCAAGACTGTTATAATATCGCCAATACCATCCACAATTAGGAAACTGAAGCCTGCCTGCCAAAATCTTCTTTGGCCTTGATTTCCTGTCTTGTTAAACCATATGATCCCGGCATCTATTTTTATTCTTGGCTGGAATGTAATGATCTTGCAAACAGTTCGCCCTTGTTATTTTCTTACTGACAATAAACCAGATCAGTAGTTACCAAATGTTTCATCTCTCTATGCTGCTGCTATGTGAGAAAATTGGATTTCCGGTAATATGGTGGATCGACAGTATGTTCGTTAAAAAAATTGGCAGTGTTGTCTGCTACTGGCTATAGTATGCTGACCCATTTTCCCTATTACCTAAGAGTTTATTGTTCCCTTGCCTACTAACTGAGCTAAATGCTTGGTGCAACCCTGTGAGCTATGAATGTCGCAGCTGGATTTGAAAGCGAGCCTCGTATCGACTGCGCTAATGCTGCTCCTAAAACTACATTTACACATAAAGGACCTGTTAACGCCAGTGGTTTATCTGGCATATGATGTTCGACTTACATATTATAGAGTCCCTATCTGGAACAAGGCTTAAGTCTAGACTTGAATCAATAATTAGAAAATTAGAAATTTCCGCCAGAGAGCAGGGCCGGCAAAAATGAAACAGGAGGAGGAGGGGGAGAAGGAGGAGGAGGAGAAGAAGAAGAAATTGTATAGACCAAATGGCACTCAACCGTTGATGTGGTCAACATCCCGCCAGCCACCTTTCTTTTCCTTAAAAAAAAAATAGATTTCAATAGTTCGTTTCAAAACTCATGCCGTCACAACGAATACTTGCATGTAGTCTTAGATTATCTATGTTTTTGTGATTCTATAAATTACGATTGCGCAGATGCTGCTGTTTTCTCAAAGCGGCGAACTTATTTGATAATTGTTCGACTGATAATTTATGTATATCCCTGAAACATAGAATATACAGTAACTGACACGTGTTGAGATTATTTGGAAATCAGGTCACAATGCATGGTGATTATTTTGACAGCCTATTCTCCACTCAATGAAACATCTGCAACTCACGAGAGACTTATGTTGGAGATAACCAACTGAGAGTAAAACGCATGCAATCTGATGTTTTGAATGGTTTCCATTACTCAGTTTACTCAAGTTACTGTAAGCATGCTGATTGTTTACTTTTAACTGGTGTCTGTTTTGTAAGAAGCAAATACGGCCCAAAAAAAAAATAAAAACCAGATGTGCTTTGATCTACTTTAATCTCCCCAGGTGAACTAGGTCACGGTCCATTGATAGATTTTTCAGATTCGTTAGCTGTCCGGGGGTTTAAGGGTATGTTTTTTTTTTTTTTTCTGGCTTGTCCTGCATTTACGTTTTTTCTTCAAAAAAAAAAAAGAGAGAATACCTGTGACATAGATTGCAGCACTCTCTAGAGGGGTTGTGTGTTAGACCCAGTTTGAAAATGTTATTGTAGCGTTAAAAGCGGTGACGTACTACACGCGATATGGGACAAATTGCTGAACTCCCCCCCCCCCCCCCCCCCCCCAGCAGTGTGCGAAGGTCGGGTGACTGGAGGCCGACCAATTAGAGGCGAGCAAGTGTGTAATGTGGGGACATTATTGTGGATCGTACCCCAGATGTATGTTTACATTTAAAAAAAATACTTACAAAGACATGACATGATTCATTAACAGCTGCATGCCAAATTTTTAGCTTAGAGGCTAGCGAAAGCGGTTAACAATTGCATTATCCTTCTGGGGATGTTCAGACAATGGTACGAGAGTCGCACTGTGGAAGAGATTAGGGCCTTACCACGTAATATTCTCAAAGAGAACAGCGTAACACTGTAACCAACCTCCATTGTGGAGACGCACCGAACTTATAAGCCCGATTTCTACAAATTACATCAAACGGTTACTGAGTTACAGATTTTTTAACTCCAACAGAACTTCTGGAACGGATTATAGTATCAAATTTAGGCTGGACTTTTTAGGTCAACTATTTGTTTGAAACTCCATACCTGTGCGATTTCAACCAAAGATTTTCTTATCTTCTTCTTTTTCTTCTTCTTCTTCTTCTTCTTCTTCTTCTTCTTCTTCTTCTTCTTCGTGGTACTGGCTGTAAACTCCGGCGGAAAGTTCTGGCTGTTCGTCTTCTTCTGGACTGCAGTACTGTTCCAGAACCTGTGTATTGCGTGTGCACCCGTTTGACATATCTGACTAGTTTTTGTGCATACTGTTGGTTCCTTGCCTCTAGGGCAGATGTACTCCGACTTCTAAGGAAGCTCCCAATCAGTCGACTCTTACGACATGCTTTTAGGTAGACAGGCGGTCTATTCTTGCTTTCCCTATATTAGGGCCCTGGAACCCACACGGGGATTTTCTTACCAAAAGATAAACCTGTAGCCACTGAGCTACCACGGCTCCGCTTACTGATTGAACTGACAATAATTGGGTTAGTTCTACGATAGTCCCTCCAGAGACCGCCCATATACACACTAGCTCACTTCTGATTAGTAGTTCCTGAGCCGCGCGTCTTTGCACACTCCTAGGGGGTGTTCCACAATATCGTTAATATCGCGTGTTGTATATTTCAGCACACCAGCGCTTTTAAGACTATAAAAACATGGATAAACTGGGTCTAACACACAACACACAAAGAAAGTGCTGCAACCTATGCCACAGGCATTCTTTTTTCTCGAAAGAAAAACCATAAATGCAAGACAAACCAGAAAGCAAACATCAGAGCGGCACCCCCCCCCCCCCCCCCTTTCCTTCTTCCCCGGAAAGTAGACCAGTCCAAAAAAAAGTGATCAATGGAAGGTGACCTACTTTGTTTGGGGAGACTACCGTCGAACTAAATAATAATTGAGTTACGAAAGACGTGCCTTACCTGATCTGATAGGCCCAGCGTTCTCTGGTTTCTGGAGATGTTCATGTGAATCACGTGAAACCGGTTCTCCGTGCATAGATCGTAGGCGATGCCGGCAAAGGATGTACTGCCGGTCTTTGGAACACGGTTATAGATGACCACAACATCATCGTCCCTTTCTGTTTCATACTGAAAAAAATATTACGGGAGAAAACGAACAAAGAAAATTAACGCTGCGGCTAGAAAACCTTCATCAGGATATGACACATAATAATGAAATAATTAATACAAATACAAACCCGACTGACTGACATGTTGATGGGGGGGGGGGGCGGGGACGGCGGGACCATGCTTGTCTTCGCCTTTCTTTCCAGAGTCTCTGTATGTGATTACTGTTGTTCCCATGATGTATTACTTAGTCTTCTGCATATCTACGTCTTGATAAACTTAGTGTGACCTTTTATATCAGCGGTTCTCAGCCTGCGGGTCGCGACGCTTTTTTGGGTCGAAAGATCATTTCGCATGAGTCGCCGAAGACCATCGGGAAAACACATGTTTAAAGGGTCGCCACAACATGAGGGAACAGTATTAAAGGGTCGCTATAACACCAGGGAACTGTATTAAACGGTCGACACAACATAAGGGAACTGTATTGAAGGGTTGACACAACATGAGGGAACTGTTTTGAAGGGCCGCCACAACATGAGGTAACTGTATTAAAGGGTCGCTACAACACCAGGGAACTGTATTAAACGGTCGACACAACATGAGGTAACTGTATTGAAGGGCCGCCACAACAGGGGAAAACTATATTAAAGGGTCGCGGCATTAGGAAGGTTGAGAGCCATTGTTCTACCTGCTTGTTTACTATCCAGCTTTCATGTATGTCCCCTCCTGTAGGATTGCAGTCTGAAATACTAACACTCAATGACGCAATCTACCAAATCTTAAAATGGCGAATCCAAGAATAGCAAGTACCAGAAATCCCGTTCTAGGGTATAAAACCCTTATACTCTTCTGTTTGTTCCCAAAACACAGCAAATCAATCTCGCAATATACAAAAAAAAAACGTTTCCGTGTGTGTTGAAACTGAGTCTACGCACACATTTTGGTAACCAAAAGCCACACATCAAACACACACCATACAAACAGCAGTTCAGTCTGTGCAGGTAGTGAGTCTACGTAGACATACAAGTAACCAAACAGACACTCTTATTTTCACAGGACTAAAGTATCCACAGGAATCCTAAAGATAACAGAACAGTCACAAATAAACACAACGTTCACTGCTCGGTAGATCGTGGTGGGGTTTGAGAACAAAACATGAAAAGCTGATGCAACTTTTGCTCTCCAACGGTAAGGCACAAAGTCATTTCTTTTAAAACTTATTGTTTGTTTCTCGTCAACGACCGCCATTTTTCGCCTTCGTCTTCTTTTTCTTAAACGTCGTTATATTCTTCTTTATCTTATTCTTCATTTTTGTAATTTTTTCATCTTCATTTCACCTACGCACTAAAACTAACCATCACTACTACTATCCTTGTTGCTGATGCTGCTGTTGCTAAGCGACGATGACGACCAACATCAACAACAAAAACAACAACAATAATAATAATAATAATAATCCGGACTTTTTTTTTAATAGAAAAAAAAAAGTGACAGTACTCACCGCAAACTGTGTATTAAATGAATGCCGAGACAAATGCTGCATAATAAAGGTGCCGATATCGCCAGAAAAAAGCCCTAATAATATATTTTTTTTCATTGTTGCCGCTGCAAAAACTACTACAGTAGTACTATTATTACCACCACCACCACCACCACCACCACCACCACCACCACCACTTCTGTTTTCTTGTAGTGCTTGCTTTCAATCTGTGTCAACTTGTCGAAGCTGACTGTATTATGCAGCTGGCATTGTAAATGATGAGGCAGCCAGTTTTAGGCCAACCATTCTTTATCAACATCACCTCATCATCATCATCATCCTGTGGCGCCGTTATCCGCCACACAGGTCTCCCAGCCTAGTCCACCATTCCATTCTTTCTCGTACAATCCTCTCAATATCATCGATAGAATCCAGGCCAGCGAACTTGACCTATATCTACAATGTTCGTTTCAGGGTTTTCTTTGGAAGTCCTCGATTCCTCGAAGAATTTTTTTTCCAATTACAGTGCCTGTTTTGTGATTACCTGTCCGTTTGTCCTCGTGATATACCCAATATATTGATATCATTTCTGTAGTATAAATGATGATAAAAGATGAAGGACCTTTCTCCACGCCCTCAGTCGTATCGGCCACACAGAGTCCGGCTCCACTACGACCCGAACCCACAACCTTCGGATCCACATGCAAGCATTCAGCCGCTCAACAAAGTGGCTTCTATACATTGTTAAATTTTACCTGGTTAAGCAGCAACTATTTTGAAAGAAACTGACTCACGGAGAAAACTAACTGCCCATATCAGAAGAAGACAGTCTATCAGAAGAAGACAGTCTATCAGAAGAAGACAGTCTATCAGAAGAAGACAGTCTATCAGAAGAAGACAGTTTATCAGAAGAAGACAGTCTATCAGAAGAAGACAGTCTATCAGAAGAAAACAGTCTATCAGAAGAAAACAGTCTATCAGAAGAAGACAGTCTATCAGAAGAAAACAGTCTATCAGAAGAAAACAGTCTATCAGAAGAAGACAGTCTATCAGAAGAAAACAGTCTATCAGAAGAAAACAGTCTATCAGAAGAAGACAGTCTATCAGAAGAAAACAGTCTATCAGAAGAAAACAGTCTATCAGAAGAAGACAGTCTATCAGAAGAATACAGTCTATCAGAAGAAAACAGTCTATCAGAAGAAGACAGTCTATCAGAAGAAGACAGTCTACACTCTCTGGTCATGTCATGAGAAGCAGAAAACTGAAGTACATTGTGCCGGTGGCAAAGTTGGGATGGGCCAGGGGAATAGAGGCAGAGGGAGACAGCGAGAGAAGATCCTGGGCAGTTTGAAGAAGATCCTCTGTGTCAGAACTGACGAAACGCACACGGGACAAAAGGTTGTGGATAGACATGACTATATTTATGTTTGTGTCAGCACTTGAAGCGATAAATGCTGCTGCCGACTGCAAGCTATGGAGAGGCTTGAATGCCGACGCCAGTCAGCCTGGCACTTGAAGATGATGATGGGGATTATGATGTGTCATTGGCGCTCAGACCGTGGCATAGACTTACTAATTATATAATTCTCTGTTTGTCCTCAAAAGGGTAGCTGGCATGTGGTATTTCGGTTTTCAATGAGGCAACTGTTTTGAAAGAAATTGACTCACGAAGAAAACTAACTGCCGACATCAGAAGAGACAGTCTACATTCCTTGGTCATGTCATGAGAAAGCGAAAACTGGAATACATTGTGATTCTGCTGAGAATCCATCGACGCGGCTGCTTCGAGATACCAGCTAAGTGATTTTGTATATTTGTGTAGTATTGTTTGATTTTATGTGCTGATGAAGGCTCCATAGCCGCAACGTTTACGTTTTGTTTGTATTTGTTATATTGTGAGGCTTGCTAATATACTTTTCGTTCGCTTTTATATTTTTCAATGAGGCTGTTCGACTCAACACATCGTATTTCCTCAAGTTCCTAATTTGTCGCCTTTTATAACACGTTTTAGATATATGACTCTTTCCTTTAAGAAAATGGAGGTCCTGGAAGCCACATGGGGAATGATGATGATGATGATGATGATGATGATGATGATGATGATGATGATGATGTTGATGAGTCTTTCGCGTTGTTTCAATCCCTGGCACATCCCTACTGATTGTAGGTTCAGTTGTTTCCGATGTTTTATCTGAAGGTTGACAGTCGTAGACTGGGAAGGTATCCCCGATAAGGAAAGACGGGAGTTCAGTATCAAGTGTCTGATAGTGCAGGTCAACAGGATCTCGATTACCGATATTTTCAGTTGCGCGTTTCGTTCAAAGGACCGAGATAAACACACAAGTCTTACTCTTGACATCTTAATTATCGTGGTGGAGCTACTACTACCGTTGCTGTGATTGCTACTGGTGGTACTACGGTCCCATTAATGCAGATAGACATGCAGAGCGTTTAGGTTCGGGCTTCGCTAGTGCAGTTTCCACATTTGGGCAGAAGTCCATGGTTTCGCTGACTAAGCTACTCAGTAGAGTGCTTGGTGCAGCACCGTGAGCTGTGTTTGTCATGTGAAATGCTTTTTATTTGTGTAACGGTTGTGTCGTGGTTTGAAAATGGTGGGTAGTCAGTCAGTTAACGTGTGGGATGGTGAAAAAAAATACCTTATAATTTTACGTGTGACTGCTTCTATCAATGCATTTCTGGTGCAGACTGTTGGCTTTAGCGTCTCTAGTAACTGCTTTGTGCATTTAATGCGTACGCATATTTGTGGATTGTGCCAGGAATAATTTTTTGTAGCCTGTTTTTCAAATAGGAAAGTGAGGGACATTTGAAATGATTTTTCACTGGCACAGGAACGGAGCATACATGGGGTGACCTGACTGCAGTAAAGTAGAAATCGCTGCTGCTGCTGCTGCTGCTGCTGCTGCTGCTGGTGCTGCTGCTGCTGCTACTACTACTACTACTACTACTACTACTACTACTACTACTACTGCTGCTGGTGCTGCTGCTACTACTACTACTACTACTACTACTACTACTACTACTACTACTACTACTACTACTACTACTACTACTACTACTACTACTACTGCTGCTACTCTGCTGCTACTACTACTGCTGCTACTCTGCTGCTACTACTACTACTACTGCTACTACTACTACTACTACTACTACTACTACTACTACTACTACTACTACTGCTACTACTACTACTACTGCTGCTGCTGCTGCTGCTGGTGCTGCTGCTGCTACTACTACTACTACTACTACTACTACTGCTGGTGCTGCTGCTGCTGCTACTACTACTACTACTACTACTACTACTACTACTGCTGCTGCTACTCTGCTGCTACTACTACTGCTGCTACTCTGCTGCTGCTACTACTACTACTGCTACTGCTGCTGCTACTACTACTACTACTACTACTACTACTACTACTACTACTACTACTACTACTACTACTGCTGCTGCTGCTGCTACTACTGCTGCTGCTGCTGCTACTACTACTACTACTACTACTACTACTGCTGCTGCTGCTACTAC